TACATTCATGTCTAAGTGATATGTCTTTACTACATAAGCATAAATTGATGGGAAGGAGGGTGGTTTAACTCTTAAAATATCCCGTCGCTTTTTAAAAAATATCCGAATACGATTAACAAGTTTTTATTTTTACATTTAATTAATATTTCTGATATATATTGAATATAAATTTTTGATTGATATATATTTGAATATATTAATGAACATAAATCTGAAACAGTCGTTGTTGAAAATTGGGTTGTTCAAACATCCGGAAAACTTAAAGTTTTAAGTGTAGAAAAGATGTTTTCTCAAATTAATGCAAACGATTAGAAATAGCCTGTAAATTGTCAAATAGTTTTGTTACATGCGAGAGGCGTTTTTTGGGCCGATGTTTAACAATATAGTTTTTTACGTCAATGTGACATTTTATCCTGTATCTATCTTATTTATTGAAAAACTAGAATAAAAAAAAAAAATAAATAAATAAATAAAAATACAAATATTTTGTTGAATTACAAAAAAAAAAAATGTCATTTACCGTCAAAACTCTTACGATTGTGATGGCCGGGGCAATCCTTCCGGTAAAAATCGTGTGCGTAGACATGGAAAAAAACAAACTCGCATCGTGTCGAAACCAACGTCGTTTCACTCAGGAACCAAAACCATTGCGTACGGTTGTAAAACGATATTTGTGTATCCCGTGCTACAGTCTACAAATTGCGGTGAAACACAATGGTTTCCGCTGACAGACCGAAAACATACGAAATGTTGGTGTTCGGCATTGTTCTGGATCGGCTAGAATTCAGTGGGTTAAAACGAGAGCGAGTTGCGCGGTGTCGAAAAATTGCGATGATATGTCTGAGCATTGCGTCGAGAACCAAAGACGAATTGGAATCGATTATCAAACGGTATACAGTAGTAAAGGGTTGCAGCAAGTAAACGGTAATATTGTATGGTTCATCGCGCGTTTTTTGAACTAGTAAACTGGACGACAAAAATGTCGACTGGTGAAAATATTTTGTCACCTATTTGTTGACAGTGTTTGTCACTGACAAATTGTCTTTGACAGACTCGGCGAAACGCAATTAACAGTCAAAAGATAATTTTCTTTTTTGAATTACATAAAAAAATATATTATTAGTAAAAGTACGGTGGATAAATTTGTATGTATTTGTCATGTTATCGATGTTTACTTTTCCACCAGTATTAAGATTCATTTTAAACAGTGATATAATACTGAAATAGTAGTATCATCGTACTACGGGCATCGAATATTTCGAGAGAAAAAATGGCTTGTCACCCGCTGAAAATTTCTTAAAAAATGCACGGGTATGGTCACATGAAACAGTGTTTGTGAAAATAAAACAAAAAATATTAACACGGGCCAGACGCGCCTCGTTTAAAACTAGTGATGATTTGTATGGATTATTATTTGTCGAGCTTTACGTGGCCGACGGGCGGACACGGTACATTATGAAATTGGTATCGATCCGATGAGAAATATTGTGCGGACAATAATAGAAAATGTATGTTGTCAGATTCAATGTCGGGGCTCAGATTCTGTAAAGTTTTTGCTATTATAACATAATAATACCCTCGTTGAGCGCTGGTAAAAATACCAGAGCATAAACCATAAATTTGTTTCGTGTGACGCGGATTTCAAATCTGTAATTTTACACTCGTATTTTTTTCAGAATTTTCCTCCGCTAAATATATTTTGGTGAAAATTGAGTCGTGCAGAACTCGTTTTTAATACCGATAAACGGAATACACTTATTAGATTCTAATTGTACGTATATCTATTTCTACTATGTGTATCGTCCAACTGTCCAACTGCAAACCGTTAATTGCTGTTTGTTTGATTGTTTTTCATTTCATAATGAAAATGATTAAAAAATAGTTCCTCTCCATTCCACTATTTATTCCACAACTTTATTCGTATAAAATTTATACTACACGGGTGTCATACAAATAAAACAAATATCTCGAAAAAAAAAAATTAATTATTGCGTGCCGGTCTGTACCTAAATACCGGCAGTGCAACGAGAGTAGACAATCAATGTGAACAGCTTCCAATCAATGTAGAATTATGATAGGTATGAAATAATGAACTCTCAACTTTAAGTAAATTACTTAATTGTAAAATAATTCAAAGTCCAAATATTTATTAACTTATCAAAAATATTCCAAGTCCAAATAATTAATTTACTAAACAAACTAGCATAAAGGTACACACCATATCAGGACTAAAACGATATTCGGACAGTTGACACCCGAGAAATTTGACACCTGGCGGTTTTGTCCATATCGAACTTTCTGCACCCGATATTTTTAGAACATGGACAATTGACACTGAGTGATTACGATTACGATAACCGCCTACTACCTATAGTCTATAGTTATTAGTTACTATTTAGTGCTTGTACTCTGTAGTGTGTTTATTATCCAACCATTTTAACAGTTTAATTTAAAAGTTATTCATTCAATATGAACTCAGAATGTTCAATAGATAAAATTGAAATAATACAAAATTAATTATTAATGATTACATTTATGTTTTTCAAAAAGAAGAGGATGACGGTTAGTAGAGCATTGTAAAGGAAGTGTAACGACTAATTCATTCAAAACCAAAATTTAAAATATCAACAACATTATCATAATGTATTTATACTCGTATATCATATATGTATCATGAATGTATGTATCATATACAATCAAACATTAAATTTAAATATAATAAGCTTATACGTTGATTATAAATTATTATACTGTATTATATTATATGCATTTATATTAGAGGTCTCGATTACACGTGTAATGAACTACACGGGTACCCATGTTTTTAAACAAGACGGGATTAAGGCCCGAGTAGTAAAAATATCCGTGTATACCCGTGTTTCTAAATACCCGAGAGCTAAAATAAAAAGTAGGTATAACAAATAATACAGAATTCATTTTTTTTTTTGTATTTTCATTCATTATAATATCTCAATATTTTAAATTTCGTTTTTTCCTAAAAAAAGTTGCATTGCCTAATTATTAAATAACAATAAACATATGTATATATATATACATAATTCAAAAATTAATGGTAATAACTATAATAATATAGTATAAAATAAATATAAAATAATAATAATAATATTAAATTAATCAACAAACAGTATGTACTATATAATAACGCATAATATAGTGCAAAAAATACAAAAGCAATCACTCACGATCTAGGAAGTTATAATAATTGTTTTGGAAAAGAAAAATTAGCATGTTTACCGCCTCGGGCGATAAACAACTTCTCTTGGCTGTCACTATGTTTCCAGCGGTTGAGAAACATCTTTCCGATAATTTACTGACGTTGCTGGTATCCCTAAATATTTCTTTGCCAAAGCAACAATTAGTGGATATTTTGATGCACGTGTCTTCCACCATTCTAGTGCATCAAAATCAAATTTTAACTGTGATTCTGTCAAGTAATGTTGCTACTGAATGTCAGAATCAGATGTATCCCAGTTTACTTCATCGCCAAACAAAAATTCAAGAGCATCGATATGTTTAGTTACAGATGTTTCAATTTGCATATCGCGATTAATTTCAGCCATTTCGTTTATAAAATTTTTAACCTGTGTCCGAATTTTCAACGTTACTTGCGATGGATTTTGAGAGTTTCTGCTTATATTGTGAATGAGTTTTAAATGTCTTCCAAATGATCCCGTTTATCCACCAGCACAACAAAACACTTTGTTTGAATTATCTTCACATAAATCACAAAAAGCTTTTTATCACCTTGGCGTTTGCCGTATTGCCATACTCAACTTTTAGAACGATAACTCATTTTTCAAAGAAAAAATGTTTAATATGTATAATATAAATATTAATACTACACTTTACGTACTAATAGTGAACATAGATACTATAAAGTATGAAACAACTCTTTAAAATCACCAAAAATGTTTAGATTCAAGGCACACGTATGTAAACGCAATGCAATAATATTGGCGATAAGATAGCTTTAAGATTGTTAATGCTTTAATCTTAAAACCAGTTTAAATATTATTATACTTATACTTTATGTTTATACCTATATACAATTATACGATAAACGAATGCATCTAACTAATTTTTAAATGTAACTTATAACTATTCATAACATCTTTAAATAATAATAGGTAGGTAAGTAATTAAGGGCTATACTATTTTTATTATTAATAAATAACCAATTATTGGAACATACATTACATTATATTATTATTATAAATGTAAATTTTTAAAGTGCATATGAATTCTTCAATAATATGTAATATACACGGGTAATAATAAATAAATACACGAATATGCATGGGTATTAAATACACGGATATACACGGGCTTCAATATGTTTTTTGACCGTGTACCCGGGCTCCGTGTACCCGTGTATTCTAATACTCGTTCACAACCATGACCTCTAATTTATATTCGTTGTCAATTGTCCTATTATTGGGTGTCATATGTCTTGGGTGTCAAATGTACTAGATTCGACTAAAACACATCTGAAAATGGGTATGTTCGGGACCCCCTTTTATACCCTGATCTCATATACCCTTATTAGTCTCGTGACTTATTCATTACAGGACGTGGTCAGTGATATGTGGGTTCTAATTACGAAGTTTTCCTGTTAATACGGGATATGGCTTTCATCTAATAATGGTTATACGTCCATCCTCGGGTTGTTCATTGATTATGAACGCTTGTCACATATTTATTGTGTAATATTATTTAATACATATTCTTTATTTTATCTATACTCGGTCACATCTATTATATTGATTGATACACCTCGCATCCGATTATTAATGTATTTCAACTTAGTCATAATGTTTCTACATGCGTCGTGTAACAATGACAATACTACATAACAAATGATTATTGATTATAATTACGTGTGCCCGTAACAGAATAGACGAATAACATCCTCGCGGGTAAAAATGTTAAAGATAATGTTAAAATGTTAAGGATCCGCGTCGAACGAACGTGTTGCTTACCTTGGTAGCTCCGTACACGGTTAGCAGCGGGCACGGCAGATGAGCCGAAATGGACGACACGTTGATGACGACGCCGCCACGGCCTCGATTCGACGGTTTCAGTTCGTCGTCCACATCCGGGCGGTCGCGGTCCCGTTGGCCGTCCGCGGCGTCGGTGTCCATCAGCGGCATTGCTATGCGGCACATAGCCACGGCGGCCAGCACGTTGCACTCGATCACGTCGCGGCACGGGTCGCCGACACCGCCGCAGGTGGGTGTGCCGGAACAGCACGACGGCAGGTCGAGCAGCCGTTCGGGTCGCGCGTACGACAGCCCGGCGTTGTTGACCAGCAGCGCGACGTCCAGGCCGTCCAGTGCGCGGCGAACCGCGTCGTAGGTGCGGTCCAGCGGGACGGTGCCACCGGAAGACGTGAAGTCCGCGGCCACCACTAGTGTGCGGACGGCGCCCGCGTGCCGTTCGCCTGAAAAACGGGTCGACGATGAGCGCGCGGAAACGAATAGGGTTCTTGGCGGTACAGACGAGCAACTTTTTTTAATACGCAATTTTTTTTCATAAAATTCTGTACTCGCATTACGTGCAAGGCTTTCGAAATCCGTCGAAACACTTGAGGCGTCGGACGCAGCCGCCACTGGTGGCAGCGGTCGGTTTCGTCGTGCGTACACGTCCCGTCAACGGGTTGTTTGCTTCCCGGAAGACGGAACGTGCTGCATTGCAGTACGCGTAGATCGACGCCTAAGAAGTCTAAAAAGTTACGACGAACACACGTGACGTGACGAAGAACGCGCATCGTTCGCGGTTCGCGTGTCGTTCGAAACGGATTTCGTTTGACGAACACGACGGTTTACAACCCTATATTTTGTGAACATGAGTATTTTTCCTAGCCGTCGGACCGTATCGATACGGTATTTTCTGTACGAGTTAATTCAAAAATCGGCTTGGACGTATACGGTCAACAAATGCGACCGGCAACATTTCGCACTCAACCGACAAGCCGACTAGGCGTGCAGAAAAGTTTAAAAACGCTCTCGTTAACTGTTATGCGCGCACTGCACGCGTCTTACAGTGTTTTCAGCCCGAAATACCGTAAAAATGTCATCGTTTATGTACCAAGTTGCCACATGTTTTTCGTCTGATCCCTGAAATATTTCCTGTTCTGTTATAATAGTTAAATAACTATGATTATTATCGATAGATAAAAGGTAGTTAAAATGAACTTTTACCAACTTATGAGTTATACTTTGAGTTGCAAGATATCTTCCCAGATTCGCATTTACTCGTACATTTATTTATTAAACAATTTTTTTTACACAATCATTTTTTTTAAAACTTTGACAAAAAGAGATCGTGCATTAGCTATTTCACACAAAGATTTTTTAGTAGCTGAATCATATTTTGATTTCGTTAAATTTACCGAATTCTCAATATTTTCATTAATTAATTTATTAAAACTTTTATATATTTTTAATTTATTCTCTTTCTAAGAAGACAAGTTTTTTTTTTAAAAAAAAACTAAATAACCAAATAAGTGAACTCAAAAACCGATAGCACCGTACTGAAATTTAAAACTATTATACAATGCACACGATTTATCATAATGTACAATTTATACTTGTATTTTATCGTATTTTATTAATATTATCTACTATTGATTTTTTGTCATATTTTATTTTATGAAAAAATTTTGTCCGCTCAAAAGTAGATAATATACAAATTACCTGGTTAATGTACTGACAAAATAAACATTTAACAATTACTTTATCCAATAGGCATGAGTAGTGTTCAGTAAAAGTAATAGTAAGTGTTGGGTAATGTGAACACTGTTCACATCACTCGATTTTCGTACTATTATCGCATGCGTTTTAAATGTCGACTATATGCTAGCACACGGGCAATAATAAAATATTAATAAAATAATAATATGAAAAATAAATGGTACAGGAACAGACAAATACTTTTTCATATTGTCACACTCCCTTCATCAGCACGCACGAGCAGCCATTGACCACGCCCATTAAGACCTTTCTGCAAACACCCGATGCCGTTCACAGGGTACTTGAAAAACTTAATGTTGTTGGGTGTTTAACAGGGGAACTAAAATATACATTCAGAAGGGTATCGTTGAACTGCACATGTCTTACTTGAACAAAAATATTCGAATGGCAATCGAGTTAGTAACAACTACAATAAAACATTTCCACATCCAAATATATTTTCATTAGTTGATGTCATTAAACAATGAATTATATTTCGGTACTGGCTCGAAAACAAATCCGCATATTTTATCGGATCGTATCGGAATTACATCAATCGGATTTTGGGTTTTTGTTGAAACCGAAGTAAAGTCCATTTCCAAATAGTTTGCGGCAAGCTTTGTAAAAGCAAGTAAAAATCTCTGCCCATGCGTTTTCTTTTCTGATGGTGCCGTAGTAATATTTATTACATATGTCGTGTGCCACATACTTAGATAAAAATAATACTATGATCACCCAATTACGATCATTCAATTACGAAACATTTAATTGGATTAATTAAAGTATACACATTATCATACAAACGTTACACACCTACATAGAATTAAACAAGAAGACAAATTAATAATTATTAGGATAACACAAAATATCACATAACATTATTCAATAAGGAACAATTGTATTGATTAAACATACCTGTGAGATAAATTAAATAAATTCTATTTAATTGGTTCACATAATCATTTTATGTGAAATTGAAATAAAATAGTTAAACGAAACAATAGTGACCACATTCTGGATCTCTGCGTCAATAATTATGGTACTAAATTATTATGGTCTAGAGATAGCGCACACACACTCACAATCAATAGGGAAATATCATATTTTTATTATCATTCTCATATACACACACACACATTTGGGATTTACACACACACTTGCATATAGCAATTATAAAAGGGACCCGAAAATAAGGGCAAATCAGACGAGTTCACGTCAGTGTATGTCATGGTCCGGACTTAATAATTTCTATAGTTTAAATATTAGGACTTAGAATATTTGTTACAGTTTTATTATTGGACTTAGAATATTTACAATTAAATAAATTTAATCGTACATAGGATAAGTTTCTTTAACAGTTTAATAAATTAACGTATTATAAAAAGTCTTAAATTATTTCTCTACACCTATATTCAAGCGTTGACTAAGACATTAGTACTGGAATCACGGATCAAACGGTTGGCACGCTACACATGTCGAAAATAATAGGATACTGCTACACTCCGTTAATCAATTTTTCTTTGATTGAAATTTTGAAAAAATTATTAACTTAATATTCACTTTATATTTACGCTACGTGCGTATTGAAATTTAAACGAATAAATTGAAAAATTTGATTGATATGAGATAATATGGCAACATGATATATGATAAGCTAGACAATACAGGTAAACAAATTTGTATGTACAAACGGGCGTACACCGTTTGAGCGAATAAATATAAACCGTTTGGGGGGAATATTTATATACCGTTTGAGCGACGATTTAACTGTTTAAAAAAATATATTAATATGGATATTAATAATATTATTATTTTTAAGTAGGAAATAATCTAAGTCAAAAAATTAAAATAATAAAATAAAATTACAAATAATATAATTATTAGTAGTTTTTAAAGCAATCTATTGGCCTCATATTTTAAACCTACACATTTTATGTATTCTAATTGGTTTTAATATCCCCTCTTTTATATTTATTCCATGTTTCTTATATAAACTCTTTATTTTGTATTAGCAATAATATCATCCGTATCTGTCATCAGATTTTTACCTCGCACAGGTAAAAATAATTTCCTTTGGCCCAAATGGACTATTGTTTTTTTTGGTCAAAATTATTACCTTTGCCCAAACGACCAACGCTCGTACAAACCACTTCGGAACGGTTTGGAATTGGGGAAAATATTTCTGAAAAGGAATTATGGCTATTCCGTTCGACGTGACGGTTCCAATCCGATCCGAACTAAATACCTCCAGTATTTTTAACTTATTAAAATGTATGCCATCAATTTTTTGTCGACTATTCTTATCCGATTCGACGTAATGTATTATTAAAATAACGTAATTGAAAAAGACAAAAAATTATAAATTAAATTAATAAATAAAAATACAAAATAATAATGAATAATATAATTTCGAGTATTATATCCATAATATCTATAATAATCCAGATTAATTTAATTCACAGTAAAACTGAAATGACTGTTATTGAATTAGGAAAAGAGAGCTACATGTTTATCGCTATATTTTTTTTATTGCTCTTGATAACACTTCATATAAATTTAATTAAATTCACTACAAAATCTCATTTAAAATTAATATAATTTTTATTACTTTGATAAACATTATCTCTTAGATACGACGAAACCCGTATATAGTTGTTATATAATACATATTCTAACATAAAATATATATTGCCTATATAAACCGGACCGAGTACCTAAAGCATATAGCTTTTTAATTTGGTAAGTAAACATTGGGTTGGGACCAGACCATTTTGGCCATGTAACGAGGATGGTCATATTAACCGATGTCGGTCGGAATCCACCGTATAACATTAAAAATAATTAAATAATTTATAAATAGTTATTAAATATTTTGTACAATATCAACATAATAAAAATCGTCATCACATTAAAACGGGTTTATTTAATTTTTATTTTTACATATATTTATTTTATTCATATTGATATTATTTTA